CACTATTCCAAGATACAATCCAGACAATAAAAATTGTGTCATATGGCAACTACAGGAAATAGACACATTAACAACTATCATTATATAACAGTGTAGTCTTAGCACATGTAACTAGATATTAACATAAAATTATAATACCACTAGGACATTAGGCTGAATTTAAATAAAGCTGAGTTATACAGAACAAAAAGATGATTCCTTAAAATGTTCTTGATTGTATGGACCAAACAGGTATAAATTGTGGATTAATACACTTGGTATAAATGTTCTCAGAAAAAAAATTATTCATAATGAGGAGATAAAAAACATTAATTAAACCAGATTAAAAGTAATGCTTATGTAACTCAATATTCACTGTTAATAATTATTTGGATAAATAGTGTGCAATAGTTTGTTTAAAAAAATATAAATAAAAATGAAATTTCTTTTTTTTTTTTTTTCCATATTCTGAATTAACTGTTATCTTTTGTTTCGCTAAACTTATGAGCAGGCATGGAAACTAAACAAATTTAGGGCATATGCTCCAAAATCAATGTTTATGTCCAATCTCCTAACCTCAGTCAATGAATTGATTTCTTAACGAAACAATCTATTGAATTTTAGAAGGAAGAACTTGTTAGTGGCTATTAACCATGCTCTACTTTGGATGACTGGTAAGTTGCGTGTGTGGGGGGGGGGGGGTCGAGTGAAAATATTTTTTGTAAGAGATGAAGAAATGGTTCTCAACAAATGCAGAAGAGGTTTTCTGGATGCACTATCAGCTTCCTATTTAATGTAATATATAGTTTAAATAAATTCCTATTCCAAAAATGTCTAATAATTTACTGTTTTATTTTTCTTCACACAAATTATATAAAAAAAAAAAACCCAAAAAACAAACAAAAAAAAAAACCCAAACAAAAAAAAAAAATCACAAATTTTACACAATTTAAAAAAAAAAAAAAAAAAAAAAAATTTCTTTTTAAAAATCTCATTAAATAACCACATATAGAAGAATATGAAGTCTGTCTGATCAAGTATCGAGACTGGTACTATTTAGAAAGGATACAGATATCAATTCACTATTTAATCTTCTTTGAAATGGCCCCTTTCTGAAGTCATACACTATATCCAGTGTTGTTTCCAGTGATGGACGCATTCCTGGAACGCCTTTTAGGGATGGTGAGCAGCTACCTCGTCACATTCTCTTGGATTTTTTTGACGTCTTGAAATCTTGTTTCTTTCAAGTGAGATTTGATTTTTGAAGAGGAAAAAGTTGCAAGGGACAAGATCTGGGGAATATGGTGGTTGTCGGGCCTGGTGGGGATGTTGTCCTTAGCCAAAAACTGCTGCACATGCCATGGTCACTAATGGACTTGCTGTGGTGTTATACATTTTCCTTCCAAGCACTGTTATAAATAATGGAACTGAGTGAGAATTTTATAACTTAGTGTGTATAAGCAACAATGGTCAAGGTTGCTCTGTGCATTTTGCAGAAATGCTTGAAGAAAAATCTTCAAGGGTCTGTGTTTATAAACAGTAATTTGGACTTTGCTAACCAGACACTTCTCTGTGGCTGAATGGTAACAGCACATCAAGCTATATAACAGTTCCCATAAGGGTTACAGGTTCGATTCCTGTCAGCAAATATTTTCTATGAAATTTCTAACAGTCAGGCCAGTAAATGTAATTAATACTGTTTAATTTTAAAAAAAAAAATAAAATTACTTAAAATAAATTATATCTATAAAAATAACCAAATATATATATCTCCTTTCCCTTCATTTTACCATGACAACAGAGTTGGACAAAAGGAAGAGAGAGGAGGAAAGGTAAAGGGTAAATAGAAAAGTGAGAGAAAACTTTAAAGGGCATGAAAGGAAAGATGGAGAAAGGTTTTCTGTTTTGAGTTTCATTACTTCTTTATCCATTAGTCTTCTATAGAGAAGCAAAGATTTCATATTTTTCTTTTAAACTCTTTACAGAGGAAAGTATATGACACCATGACTTGTGTCAAATGTTGACTAGTGATCTAATTTTTATTTCTAAGGAAGGAAAAATATTTTTCATGTTAAAAAAAAAAATGAGATATCATGAATTTTCAGGTTTGTGTCACTTTTGGAGTATAGTGTGAGAGGCGAAATTGTGAGCTTTGGTGGGATTGGTCATTAGGTAAAGTCTTCTTACGTCTGTTGAACTTCAGTGTTGTTTTCATTTGATAAAGGAATTATTAGTTTACAGGTCAGGTTTGTTTTGATCAGAGATATGACACAGTCAGATGGAGCTGATGATGATACCTGTGAGTGTGAGATTCTGGGAACATGGAAAATGTTCCACTGAAGGTGGATATGGGCAATACAAGGCCACAATTTTGATTGGCCTGCCAATGAGAGAAGGGCTGAATAAAGTTTCTTGTTTACTCACTGATACTTACAACACAGGGCCATTATTTTGATTGGGCCACCAATCATATTGGGTTCTTGAAGGCTTTCTTTCCTCCTCTCCGATGTATATGACACAAGACCATTGGTCAAGCATTATTATTGGCTAGCTAATCAGAGCAGTCCCAGCTCAAAAATTCCTTATACAAGAATCCTTTTTGTCTATGTATTCATGATCCTAATCAATCATAATGCCATAAAAAAAGGTTGTTTTTACACTTGTTAAAGGGTGTTGTTGAAGTTAATTAAGTTAACTGGCGACACCAGTGACTTTAATCTTTCACAAGCATAGCCAGGAAAGAAAGGAGTCAAACCTGATCTTTGGCAGTTCTTTACCAATATTCCTGCAGATACTGAAACATAATGTGGAGACACAGGATTAGTGCAGAGCAGGCTCACCAGAGATGGGCCAAAGTAAGTGTGACACTCAGCAAAGCACACAGCAAGTAGGTAGGTAGATACTAAACTATTGATACATGCATCTGAAAAAGTAAGCTAAATTTTTTTAACTAAATAAACTAATTTTATACTTCTACAAGATTTAAATTTAAACTTTATATTTGATAGCCAGTTCACTGTGTCATGCTAAATAATTTTCCTTAGCAAAATCTATTTTACAAATTTATAAGTCTACCATTCATCCATATTTAGAATATTGCAGTCACATCAGGTCTGGTGCTTCTGCTATATATTTAGAAATTCTTGATGAAATACAAAGAACAATCTGCAATGTTATTAGTCTTGACTTGGTATTTTGGTTTCAGTTACTTTTCTACTGGTGTAACATAGCTTTCCCCATACCTTTTCTATAAATTTTATAGATACAATGTCAATCATTATCTTCCAGCTTCTTAATTCTAGTTCTTTAATTGTCCTCTCACTTTAATAGTAGGTTTTTTCTCTAATATTCGGTAACCCTTTGCATTTTAGTGGCTTTATTGCCTTGATCAAGGTGAAATGATTAAAAAAAGAAAAAGACCTTAACTTTATGAATTTAAACTCGGTACTATATTGGTGGCATGGTTACATCATTTTACAGTTGAAATTGCTCGATGTAACTAAGTTTTATGCTAACAGTTTGTTCTCTTACACTTCTCACTTATGGAACTCTCTTCCGGCTTCTTGCTTTCCAGTTAAACTTGATCTTCAAAAATTTAAATGCAATGTCAGTTGTTATCTTTTGAATTCCTCTTTTATTGTTCTCTCTTTAATAATGTGTTTTCTTTTTTTTTTTTCTTCTTTCACACTCAGTAACCACTTGCATCTTAGTGGATTTATTGCTTTGCTTGGGGGTGAAAGAATTAAAAACAAACTAAACTTCCCTATCGCTAACAGAATTAAGATGTAAAACAGTGAATTTATATTTTCAGGATTCTTTTTCTTAAATTAATCAGCTTTTTTAATTTGTAAAATAAAAAAAAATGTTGAAAATAAAAATCATTTAGAAAAGAATATTCTCTTTGTATGAAAATAAATAGAATTATGATTTTAAGGTTTTCCCCTTTGTCCATCATTGTCCACTAGAAAAAGTAAAATCCATTTCATTTTTAATCTATAAAAGAAGTATTTTAGAAAATATTGAATGCATATTATTATGAAATGGTATTAAATCGGAAATAACATGTTTATAGATTTGGGCTTGATGAATTAAAGAAAAATATTTGTATGAATACCTCGAGGCCACTTTTTAAGAAACAAAAAAAAAAAAAAAAAAAAAATGAAAGGAATTTGAAAAAGAAAAAAATGAACTAAACCAGTCTTTTCCAACATAATTCAGAAGGTTGAATCTTTATAGACTTGCTGTTGTTATCACAACGGGGTTCCTTTTGTTCTCACAGATTACACTGATAGATGAAGAATGGATTGTCCAAAACATTGTGTTAACAACAGTAACTGCATAAAGAAAAGATTTGAGGGCAATGTTGAACCTTTGTGCATGCAAAAAAAAAAAAAAAAAAAAAAATGCTGTGTTGAAATGACAGTTATTTCCTTGACAGACACTGTCATTACTGTATACACTATTAACTCTCTCAGCAATGTTTTTTTAAAAAGTGAGGATTAGAATTTTAATAAAATCCAAACATATGAAAGTGTATTTATACATTTTCTTTATTCTTGAGAATTGACAACAAAGAGGTTAAACACTATTTATTAAACTGCTTAACAGAAAAAAATGTTATATTTACAAAGTTATAAAAATATGTAAACCAATTATACTGAAATATTTATTATTTAACATTTTCTAAAGAAATATGGAAAAACATTTTTTTTTTATTCATTAATTTTATTTAATATGATTTGATAAATTAGTTTTCTTTTGATTATCAACTCTTTACAGATTATTTCAAACCAGAAAATATTTTTAGATTGTAAGATTTTTGGGGTTTTCTTTTTTTTGAGATAATTATTCAGTGATACAAGTCTTACAAATTAATTAATCTGTACCCTCATGGGGAGAAGGGGTAGATTCTTACCTTTCCTATGTGTATTTGTGTGTAAATGAATATAACGGGAATTTGAACTCTGTTCTCCAATTTACAATTCCAAGTCATTATCTATTGCACTAACCATGCATCAAAGCTTACAGCACCTGGTGTTCCGAAGTGGTCACCCATCTAGGTACTGACCAGGCTTGACATTGCTTAACTCCAGTAAACATACGGGAACCAATGTTTCAATATGATATGGTTGTAAGCCTGTTCATAAATTTATAAAAATGTCTGAACAAGAAAATTTAAAGAGACACCTAATGATGAGTAATTGTAATCAGAAATTTTGAAAAAAAAAAAAAATGCATTTTCTGGGCATTTTTATTTACTCTCACCACAGAAATTCACAAAAATAGGCTGAGAGCATCTCTTCATCTAAACCAAAATTCTTTACTTTTACATTTTAGGTGAGACCACAAACACTCAATATTTTAAGTATACATCTCCTTATTCATTGGGTTGATAAAGTTTTCTTTGTGTACAATTATAGAATGTAATTTTTACTGAAAATATTGCATTGTAGTTGCTTTACAAATTTTGATAATTTTGTAATTTTTAAAAAATTTTTTAATAAAAAGTATTCTTTTCAAATTTATTTCTTTATAAAATGGTAAATAATAAATATTGCATTGTACTTGGTTCACATATTTTTATAATCTTGTAAATAAACATTGCTGAGGGAGTCAAAAGCGTATACGGTAATAGCGGTGTCAAGGAAATAACCATCCTTTTGACAAGTTTTTTGCAAGCACAAAAGTTAAACATTGCCAATTTGAGTATTTAAACAATACTGCATACATTGACTTTTACCAAAGTTAGAGATTAAATATTTTGTTTACAATATCACAAGTTATGAGTCCTGGGAAGAATTAGTATCATATGGACATTACATGAACTGAAGCTGTAACAGTCATAGGTGTATCTAGGGAAATATGACCTGACAGAGCCCATCCTTCTTCTGGCTTGTTTTGAATTTAGGGTTATCCCCCTAGACTGGTGCCCAAGTTTAAATTGATCAATTTGTTTTCTACAGCTTATCAACCCTTTGCAGATTATTTAAAGCCAGAAAACATTTTTAGATTGCAAGATTTGGTGGGGTGGGGGGATAATAATGGTTTAATGAGACAAGTCTTACTAATTAACCCATAGCTGAGTGGAGAAGGTTTATTTGCAATTGATTATAATGAACCCAATGAGAATTGGAACTCAGCTTTCTGAGCCATTGTCAATTACACTACCCACACATCCAAGCTTACAGCACCTGGTATTTCCAAGCAGTTACCCATCTAGGTACTGACTATTGCTTAACCAGTGATCATACAGGAGCCACTGTTTTTATGTGATATGGCTATAAGTACAAAGGTTAGAAGACTTATCTGCCCTGCTATTTAACTCGTAGCTGGAGAGAGAAGAAACAGGTTCATGCTTTTTCAAATGGTATTTGTGTGAAAGTGAATGCAACAGACTGGCCTGGAATTTGAACATGACAATCTAATTTTTGTACCAATATATCTATTACACAAACTGCATATACGTTTACAGTCCAATATACAGGTTGTGATGGATAAATTGTCAACTAGATTATGTAAAAATGAAAATAACACTCATTTTAACAAATATATTTACCAAAATTACACAAAAATATCTTGTAATAATAAAGAGTAAATTCATTCAATAAAATCACCACTGGCTTCAACCACAGCCTTTGGAATCTCCTGCAATGCTTCTGGACAGTCTCCTTGTTTAAGTTGGTAAATACTGCCATAATCTTTGCCTTTAGTTTATCTTTGATGTTACAAGGAGTTTTGTTGGTCTCTTGCTCAACTGCACCCCACCCATAATAATCAAAGGGGTTGCAGTCTGGGAGGTTAGGTGGCCAGATATAAGGGGTGATGTGATCACAGAAATTGTCTGGCAGCCATGACTGGTTTCTCCTGCGAGTGTGACATGGTGCAGAGTCCTGTTGCCAGACATAATGTCTTCCAGCAACCACCCTCTTGACCCAGGACAGCACTATCTCCTCAAAGCACTTTATGTAGTCCCCCATGTTGAGTCTGAGGTCCTGTGGGAAGATGAATGAAGGCATAACATTGCCATTACTAGTGATCACTCCAAACACCATGGTGTTGAATGGATATACCATCCAACTGTTTCCAAATCTTCCTCAGATTGACACCCAAACACTTTGAAATGTTCTTATTGGAGCTTCTGGTGTGAATGCCAAGCAGTACAGCATACAGTTTCCAAATATCTGGCAGAGTGAATTGCATCAGAGTGCTCTTTTTCTTGCAGACAGTGCCCAAATAACCCTACACCCTACTATACTGTGCAGTTGACAAAATTGAAAACAAACAAGGTGTATACACGAAATTAAAAATATAAAATGGCGACAATTTACCCATCGCAGCCTGTACATATTGTAATAAAGAAAATATGACCAATATTTTTATTTTAATGAAAATATCTATATTTTAATTTGGAACTACAATATCATGATTACTTTTTTTTTGTTTTGCTTAAAGAGACATGCTTTTTTATTAAATAAGTCCTAATTAAATTTAAAGATTAAAATTGTTATTTTCTGTTGACAAATATGAACAGAGGTAAAACGAGAATGAATAATGTGTTGGAATTAATCGATATTCTATGGCTTCCTAACTGTTACCATAGAAACAGGAGGGTCTGTTCACAATTCTAAAAATTTAGATTTTTTTAATCAAATGCACAAAATATACAAAAAGATTAATTTGTTTTTTAGCAATATTATTCATCATAAATCAAGATAAGTTGATCAATAATATTAACAATATAATTGCAATATGTATTTGAATATGAATTTGCTGAATATAAAATGTATTAGAGCCAGGATATACAAGAAAAGCTAAAAATAAATGAGCCATTTTTCTTGAGTCATTTTTTATTTTTTGACATTTATTTTTAAAAATATGTAAGTCATTTTTCTTGGTGAAAGAATTTACAAAATCAAATAAAATCTCAAGCAGATTCTCCACATTTTATGCAAACAAACTGAAAATGTATAGAACAGAAATATGTTGATTTAAAGGTTTAAATTTTTTAATTTCAATTACAACCAGCTATTCTTAATTAGGATATAAGTAATTAAAAAAAAAAAAAAATTCTTGTCCGTCATATTTAACCTTTAGCACTGTGCATTATTAATATTTCTTCCCTTTCCACTGCATTCTTTTTCAAGGCAATTGCAGTAACCTTATTAATTTCACTCAAAAATGTTTTCTGTTGCCATATGACAACACAACTATGAAATTAAAACATTCAAATTCAGGGATCAGGATAAACTTTTTGCACAGCAAATGAAGTCACATAGAGTGTGATAAAGGTTAATGAAGCATGCATGAAAAATTTGGACAGCACTCATTTTCTGCAGGTCTCATTAAATATGGCAGACAAGATTTTTTTTTGAGTTTTTTTATTTTTCTTGTGCCCTAACAAGTTTTCTTTCTTGAAGACCTCGTGTTCCACACACACCCTGAAAGATTTTGGCTAATACGTTACCAATTGTTAGTGTTGAAGAATTGTTAGTGTGTAGGAGGGGTTGGTTTTTACATGAGAACAAGGATTAGCAACATTCATGGCGTGTTGCATGAGAATCAATTTTTGTATCAATAATTTTTTTCTTTTTAGTGGAATTTTGCTTAGTTTCTGAATGTGGCCAGACCTTTAAGATGTGCTTGCATGCAGTGCTATTAAATGATATTATTGTAATTTTTTTTGTTTTAATCAGAAATGCTTCTAATAACTTCAGATACTTTTATTTTTTTACAGCTAGATGTTCTTATCTGTGTTGTCTATGAGGATTTCTCAAATGGGCAAGAACAGTTGGATGTGTGTATTTAAGAGTTTTCAAATTGCATTATATACATCTCAAATGAAAGATGGTCCACATGTGCTTCTTATATGTAGATTTACTAGGCTGGTTAATAAAATTTGAGGGCTAAAAAGCCAACAAAATGATAACAATATTGGCAATATGATTCATAATATTTATTACATATTAACCTTTTGACTAAATTGAAGCATGAAGAGAAAGTTCTAACTTTAAAATCTTTCTCTTTGTGCTTCAATTCAGCCAAAAGGATTATCTATAATAAATATCAATCTTATTGCAAACATTGTTATCATTTTGTTGACTTTTTAGTCCTCACATTTTATTAACCAGCCTATTAAATCTACATATAAGTAAAAAGTTTGTCACGTAGCTGATTGATGTTACTTTTAGCATTCCCACTTCAGAGTTTCATAGACAGACCTGACCGTCCACTTGTCAGGAGATATCAGCAATTGACAGCTTCTAGATTTTTCTTTTTTATATACACTTATCATTGATGCAAGTTTTTTCATTGTGTGTGTGTATGTGTGTGTGTCACCAATCTGCACATACATGTAAGATTTTTTTTTTTTTTTTACTACACACACACACACACACTATATATATATATATATATATACACACACACACACACATACATATATGTATATATATAAATTATCATTAACAGATATTAAAAATTTAGACATTTTAATATAAATTTGTCAGGATGTCTAGAAAAAGCTCAAATTTATTTTCTTGAATGATTTCTTCTAATTTGACACCAATTTGGAAAATAAAAAGGTCAGTTTTCTTATGCAAAAGAATTACAAAATCTAAAGTCATATAATAAAAATACAAAAAGACTAATAGAAAAAAAAAAAAAAAAAAAAGACTTCATTAGTAAGTCTCCTGAATGTCACAATCAAATGTCAACACTAATTGTTCTAAAAAGAAGTGTGTGTGTGTGTGTGTGTGTGTGTGTGTGTGTGTGTATGTGTTGTGATCTTATAACAAAGATCAACAATTTGCCAAGGACAGTAAGAAACATGAACATCATTTTAAAAGTATAAAAAGAGACATTGTCTCATTTTTGATAATATTATACCAAGACTAATAGACAAAATTTTAAACACTAAAAGCAACGTTTGTTAAATAGAATAGGATTCTTTTTTTCAGTAATGCATACAGCATATCTTGGTCCAGAATTTTCAACATTAAAAAGGTCCTTAGTTCATTCTTTTGTTGAACAAAGAATCCCATAGCTGGTCTCTTCTTAATATTCTTTTCCACATCTACATGGAATGTTATAAAGCCACTTTTCCATCAAACTGTTTTTGCACTTTGTTACAACTCT